CAATGAAATATCACAGTATATATATATATATATATATATATATATATATATATGTATATCTGTCATCTGTTTGTTACTGGTGTAAACAATGAAATATCATAGTATCAGTATCTTCTGTGTGTTTTGTAATGCGCTTCCCTCTTGTAAATAAATGTAATGGACAAGCTTATGAATAATATAAATTTCACACTATCACATACTTATTGCCTCTTTTGAAGAGCGAGGTCTGGGACACTAAAAACAACATCTAATAGAACTATACTCGATGTTGAAGACATACAATTACAATTTAGCAGACTAAGGTGCAGAATTTTCTAGCTAACTAAACAAAACTAAGCTAATATATGTACATTATACACAAACTCATACATTACAGCTTGATTGAGAAGCTTCTCTGGTATGGTGGATGTGGAACCTCCAAGTGAAGACGTAGTCTTTGGACTCACAGGACAGCCTTATAACGTCACAGAAAGCATTAACGGAGTTCTTATTCTCATCACTACCCCATTCTATCCTCACCCAGCAAGAGAACCCATTTGAGGAAATCGGCACTCTGGAATCGGAAAGCTGCAGGATCACTTCCCCGCCGATTCTCTTGCATGAACTGGTCATCATTGAATCGAGCCACGAACACTCGGGCTGACCCACCATCTCTTTGTAAGCGGAATTCGCCATCCTCACTTTGTTGTTGGAATCCGATATGACGGCGGGGAGAATCTCGGACTCGACCTCTTCCTCGACCTCCTCCGGTTTCTTGGGAGCTTGGGCTGCTTGTGAAGCCAGTTTGGGGTCCTCACTGATGCACCGGACGCATATGCTGGACCCCACCGGCCGAACCGGCTGAGGTGCTATCACGGTCGCGGGAACCGGAACCCGCTGTAGTTGTTGCAGGAGATCCTTTTCCTCTGGAATTTCCGCCACTGTGTTCAGGTCTATGAGCTGCTTTTCTTCTCCACAAGCTTTCATCCAGTCGAGCTCCGATACCGCAGCTTGGTTGGTGACAATGGGGGTTGACGGTAGAAGAGGAAGAGTGACTAAATTTGCGGCGGGCTTCTCCAAGGTGAGGCTTGTGGTGGGAATTTGTTGAAGGCCGTGAGTGGAGAAGCCTTGCAGGGGAGGAAGGTGGTTGTAAGGAGGAGTGAGGCCAAGAGCGTTGTTGGTTCTTTGCCGCTTGAGACTCGGCGGAGACAGGGCAGCTCGGCCCCTCTTTCTGGTTCTGGTGGGCCTGGCTTGCAGCTGGGGCCAGAGGTTTCTCAGATAAGGGGACTGCCTGATCTTCTGTGATGTGGACGTTGTCTCGCTTGTGGGGCTTGTGGGTGTCTCTGGCTTCGGTGCTATGGGCCTATACCTCGACATGATCTCGGCAGTTTTCGCCGTGGTGGCGTATGGATTGAGGGTCTTGATCATGGTGGCCAAAGACTAAGAAACAGCCCCCTGAGAGAAGCTGATGATATGGAGTTTTTCTGAAATATGATAGTGAAGGAAATTGTGGTGAAGAAGAAAGAAGACAGAGGAGGGTTAAAAGTGAAATGGTTCTGTGACCGGAGAAGGATAAAGAAGGAGGTGAAGGAGAGGTTTTTTAACGGTGGGAATTGGCCAATGAGAGAAGGGCAACATGAAGCAAAGAGGGAGGAGGAAGTGACACTTGGATTTTGTACTGGTGGGTACGTGTTTGTGAGGCTTAGGATAATGACATGTGGGAATTCAAACCCTTGAGTGGGTCCATGCAAGCTTACACATAACAAGAACCGTCGAAATAGTTAATCCCTGTTTTTGACAACTGAGCCCCTCCATTCACTGCCCTCCTAACTTTTACTCCTACTGCTAGCGCCTTCTTTCTTAGAGAGAGAGAGAGGAGAGAGAGAGTACATCTCTCCACGCCAATCAGGTGCATGAATCCACAACCCAAAATTGGCCCTGTCGTCGCAACGCGTGTGGGTCTGGGCCGCCATGCGTGTCTACACCTATCACGATTGGTTTGGTCGTTTTGTGAAGTAATTTTCTGTTCATTTTTTTTTTCCCTTTTAAAATAAAAAAAGTCTCGGATTTAGGAAGAGTGTTTGAGTTTGCCTATTTGCCATCATCTGAGTCGGTCAAGTTTGGATTCATTACACGTGGTGGAAGACTATCTTCCGGTTGCATGCAACGGAAGGAATCTGATTGGAGGGTGAGCCTGTTTTGGGTTAGATTGAAAACTTTAAAAAACACTTTTGGTTGGACAGGGTAGGAAATGGAGTAAACGCGTGGCCCATGCTGGGGGAGATTGCCAAAACGTGGTATTTGGCCTTGGGAGGCGTGCCCTTTCTGGGCTGCCACCGCCGCTGTGGTGCATCTGCCGCCTGCCAAGTCTCGCTCCCAGTGCGGCTTCACGGGACATTTTATCTCACTTTCACTCTCAGGGTTTGTCTGCAAAATAAATGCAATCCAAATTCATTTTAAATCCGACATCAGTCCAACGTATATAAGAAGCGTGGTAAATGAGTGAAATTGCCAAGAGTGTTTTTGACCCTTATTTTTCAAAAGAAAAAAGTTATTACTTCGTTTTTTTTTTTAAAATAAAAAAAAAAAAGAAGAAAAAATTCTTACTTTTATCAGCACTTGGCACCAGCCCCGTTCTTACCGTTTATGTTGTCACTAGTACGAGGGACGTGTCGTTTCTCCGTAATAAATCTTTTGCATCTTCGAGCTCAACCCAGATCTTCCTCTCAATTGATATTTAATTAGTCATCTTAAATCACGTTGTTTAAAAAAAATAAATTACTTTTAACTAATTTTTTTATGTATCATGCAATAATGTAACATAACATGATTAATTAGATATTAATTAAGACATTAAAAATTAAACAAAAAATCTGAATTCTATGAGCATACATGCAACTACAAGCATGAATAAATATAATTAAATTTAAACAT